TGTCATGCTGTCGTTGATGATGATGATGATGCGGTCGCATTTTACGATCCGTCACTTCCCACGCCTTTCCTTCACTGCGTTCGATGGCATCCATAGCAGCATTTGCTCCCAGGAAGTGTTCACCGTTGCTTTCAGTCATTCAGCCACTCGATTATGTCAGCACCATGTTAGCTGCTGTTGCCTGTAGATTATCTGGTGCCTGAGTTGGTTAGTGCAGTGTCCTGTTTCTTTTTAAAATTATTTTAGGAGTGTGTATGCGGATACGGCGAGGTACCCTCGCAAGTTGTTTTCGACTGTATGGTCTCAGCACACACTCGAATCACTTACCAGCATGGCACTTACTGCTGTTTGATGAGCTTATCTCGGCTCACTTTGAACTTAAATCTTGGGTATAGTGAAGATAGCTCCCGAATGAATAGGACTTGCGCGCCAAACTCTTGGTAAACAGATTGAGTGCCATTTGATTTATGACGTGGACAGTTTAAAACTGTTTATTCCACCACGCCATATTTTGACTTTGAACTGCTATCGGCACTGATAAAGTATAGGATTTTAACTTGGCCCTTACATTACTTTGGTTTGCTTAGTAAACCTGTGAATCGGGGCTAACTTTAAGCAACCAAAGCGTTGCACTACTCAGAGTTTGGGATTATTCCATGGTATCATGATAACAATCCGTGAAATCGCAATTGATTGGGTGATTCCACATTCAGGTGGCTCTATGGCGCATACTTGGAATTGTCGTGAGCACTCTTCCGTTGGAGCAACTGATCTATTCTCCCTTGTAATAGTTCTGTATGCTGGAAATTCACCCCATCAGACTGAGTTACCATTGCATTTTCGTGCTTCAACTTCGTTACATTGCCCGCACCCTTCTTGTACATACGAATACGGGATGCGTTTTGCACACGCGAATCTGCCAGAATCGAACGGATTGCAATCTCTACTTGTCTGCCTCCTTTTATGGAAGTTCACGATGACGGTGTCCTTCATCATTAGCGTATTCTTACCTGTCAGCAGTCACGTCCGGTTCAACCCAGCTGTTACAGTAAAGCTTGTACTCCATTTTTGCCGGGCCATCGAACGTCTGGAGCATTTATTCTGATCTGATAGTGATATATCCTGACAAAGGCCGTACATCGTCGTCGTAAATCAGATTCGGATTTTAGAGACAGGTCATGTCAGTTCCCCTTCTCGGGCGGACCCACTTTAATGGTGAGACAGCTCTGAGTTCGCCTGAAGTTGTTCTCTCGTTTCAGCAACACTGTGTGATACACATTTCAGTAGTATAAAATATACACTGTACTCTGACGTGTCAGTTTGTCTTGTGGAAGATGTGTGGCCCGCCCGTGCTAATGGCAGTACTTGGCGAATTGTCAAGTTGAAGGCAATCAGTGTACAGCTGCTGGCTCATCTCGGTTGCTACAGCATTTGGCACGAACCGAATAATGGCCCAAGGGTTAAATCAGGCAAGTTGGGGCAACAAGGACCTTGCTATGGTTGATCTTCATAGGCCCCGGTGTTCTGGAGCTGTTGGAAAGTAAAAAATATGGTTGGTGAATCCGTCGCCCCGAACCGAACGTTGCTTGGCTTTCACAACGTTCTGGTGGGTTTACACAACCTTAGAGTTATCGCCACGTGTAGTTTTCGGAAACGAGAGGGTGCTTTCTTCGTCATTCGATTACTCTGTATGAGTTGAACTTTTCTCTGCACACTGGGTTGAAGAAAAATGGTCTGTCCTTCTAAGTGCTCAGTCCATCGCAGGTTGATTTTTTTCATCATAACTAGAAGTTTTGGACAGGCAATGTTGATAAGTTGAAGCACCACCGCCTGGCTGTTTCCACTTGCCATAGTTCCTATACCTACATACCTTCAGGCGCGTGGCGGCTTATGGGGAGTTCTCTAGAAAAAAACCTGGCAAAAGTGGGGTTCGGCTGGGATGTCTAGTCTCTAGTTTTGTCCAACACATGAGGGTCTTCAAAACAGCAGTGTTCAAATAGTTTCTGGTGAGAGCCTTGTCGATCTGAAGTACGTGCGAGCACTTATAGAAACTGACCTCCACAGCACCAGCTCCCGCCTTGCATCTACAAGGTGCGAATTCATCTTTCCGAAGGTGCAGCCTCTGAACATGACCCTTGCAACTGAAAGAGAAACACCGGAGGTTGTGGAGAATATTACGCAACTCAATAGGTGAATTAGCTTTCACGGAACTATGTCCAATGAACGGACTTCATGGGTCCGAATCACGTTCCCATTTTGCGTCATGACTTCAAAACAGTATTATAGCACTGGATCTCAAGGATAGTATGTTACAGTGAGGCTTCTGTGGTTGCGAGACATGACCCCTGAGGACGGATGGTGTGAGGTATCTTCAGATTTTCTCACCATCTATGTCTCACAAGTGTTGCTGGTGTGGAATTGGCGCCAACAAATTCGTAGCGAGCATTTAGTTGTACAGCAAATAACATAGCCACGAAAAGCATCCATTAACTTCCGTGGCTCGGTCATGTGTTACGCATGCAGGAACAAGTGTTGTTCCCCGTGTCGGCTTCAGAAAGGCGCAAACCGCAAGGCGGACAACGTGAGGCTTAGCAGAGGGTGTGATAGGTCTTACCGAGAGTTTGGGTGTTTTCGGTTTGGTCGGTTTTTCAAGTTGGTGCCCCCGTGATCACTGTGCTCAGTTGAAAATGTTACAATAAATGGCGACTAATCGATTTCAGTGGCTTCGTGTTGTCAGTTTCTCTTCAGGTTGCCTCACTGAGCACTTGGATGGGCAAGCATGTCAGTGCTTGTAACAGGCCAACAACAGTTTTCTCCTCTATACGCTTTTCTTTTCACTTTAAGGCCTCAAATATAACTAAATAAATATTGTGGTTTTAAGGCAGTGAAGTATTAGCGTCAACATTGATGTTGCTGTCTCTGGTGGTGATGATGACTCTATTTTCCACATCGTGGTGGTGCAGTCTTCTAGGCCTACTTCTGTGGGGGGTGAGATGGTCCAAGTGATTAGAGCGCGAATTTACTGACCGGAAGGTCCGTGGTTGGAACCCGACTTCTTCCTCTCGACTTCCCTGTCTAGGCTTGGGCAACCTTGCAGTATCCCAGCCCTCGTGCTTCCTTCTGGTGACATGGCAATTAAGCACTGAATGGGTGGAACAGGGAGTAAGGTATTCTTTTCCATATCCTGTTAAGTGTCTGGTACAAAGACCAAGTTAAAGTAAAAATAAAAATAACCGCTCAGCTGTAAAACCCTTTCGGTGCCTTGCTACCATGCCATGAGAAGGCCGAACTGGGGTTGGGGTACTGCCAGGTTGCCCAAGCCTAGACAGTAGTTGAGATGTGCAGGTCGGGTTCAAACCACGGACCTTCCGGTCAGTAAAGTAAAATCCAGTTGACTAATAGGATCTTAATCAATAGGGCATTCTGCTGTACCCCTCGCTTATAGCATTCCTCAACCGGATGCATCGTACAAAGGCCGTCTGGATTCAGTTGGGACGGTATGCAAAGTATCAGGGTGCTTTTTCATAAAATATGAAAATATACTGCAACATCTCGAATATCGTGTCAACTGAATCATGAGGCGGCCTGTGTGCAGCACATTCAGTTGTAGAATATCATAAACGAGAGATTCAGTTGAGTCTCTCATGAGAACCAAATTGATTTGCAACTGAGTGTATTTCTCGATATCAGGGTACTTCTTCTGATATGAGTGTATTGTATAAAGACGTTGTCCACTACTTGTTTCGTCCCTCTTGAGACTATTCAGGTG